CCCCCAAGCACCCACCGCTTGCTGAGCAGCCGGATGGGTCCGCAGAGGGTGCGCAGCATGGCGGGGCCGGGCCGGGCCAGACTGATGTTGTGCACTTCTTGGTCGTAGGCAGGGTGGGGGGCGGCGGTGGCGAAGCAGCGGCTCCGGGCTTGGCCCAACCCTCTCTTACAGCAGCGGTGCTGCCGGGTCTTCACAGCCCCCTCCTCCCGGCAGAAGCGCTCCAACCCCCTCTGCCACTGCAGAGACACGCGGGGCCCCAAACACCGCTGTCAGCGGCTGTCCCCACCCTGTCCCTGATAGCTGCCATCACCCCCTGACACCTCTGTCACCCCTTGAGATAGGTGGGGCCTTCCTGAGACACTGCGTCACTCGCTGGGTCACCTCTGTCCTCCTGACACCTCTGTCACCCCCCCTCCAAGGGACACCTGTGTCACACCCAGGGACATGCAGGGCCATTCCCACATACCTGCATTATCCCACAGACACTTCACACCCCCTCACCCCCCCAGGATATCCCAAGGGACACTTGTGTCCCAGCACCTCCTGGACACCTGGGTCACACCTAAAGACACCTGTGTCCTCCCCAAACACCTTCATGGGACACTTAGGTCACTCCCCAGGAAACACCGTCATCATCCTTCCGAATGCCTGGATCATGCTCCAATACACCTGCGTCACCCTGAGTGATACTTGTGTCACCCCCTCACGACACCTGTGTGCTCCACAGGCACCTAAATCACACTTTGGGATGTCTACATCAACACCTGGGACATCTGTGTTAATCCCTTCGACCCATCTGTCATATGCCACCTCTCTATCACCCTCCCAGCACCTATCTAGGGGTGGCCAAGTTGTGATGGAGGTGAGACCACTCCTGTCACCCCCCACCCACCTTGACATCCCCCCCACAGCTCCCTCCCACCTCCAGGTCCCCCTCTATCTCCAACTCACAGCAGCGTGGGCGCACTCCAGACTGCTGTTATGGCAGCAGCGGCCAAAGTCACGCTCCAGGCGGCTGTGGAAGCGTGCCCGGGGCCCAGGGAGGCCTTTGGGGCTGGGTCGCAGCCCCCTCAGGCGGCAGATGTTCTCCATGTTGGCAGCGTTGGGTTCACCAGGTGGGAAGGATGGCACAACCACGGGCTCAAAGACGGTGATCTCGGTGATCTCGGTGATGGCAGTGGCGCCCACGGTGGCGTCGGTGAAGCAGCGGCGTCGTGCAGCACCGTGCTGGTGGCAGCAGTGGAACTGACGTGTTTTCACCCCAAATTCATCCTCGCAGAATGTATCCAGGACATCGGTCCACTGCAGGGACAAAGGGACACCCAGGTCACCGTCAAAATGTCTCCACATCTGTGTCACCCCCCCCTCCTGGATACCTGTGTCATCTCCCAAGACACTTCTGTTATCACCTTGGGATACCTGCATTGCTCCCTGGGACACACTCCTGGACATCTGTTCCCTTCAATATCATTGTCACCCCCTGGGACACCCTCACAAATATCCGGGTCACCCCTCAGGGACATATGGGGCTCTCCCCAGGCACATGCATCACCCCCTGAGACATCTGTGTTAATCCCTTGGACTCATCTGTCACCCTCTGGCTACCTGTGTCACCCCCAGGACCTCACCCCCTGGATATCTGTATCATCCCCACCCCCCACAACACATCTATGTGATCTCTACAGGACACCTGCATCACCCTTTAGGATACCTGCATCACCCCTACACACATCACCCCCCCCAAGTGACACCCCAGCTCTGTGTGCCCCCCCTTGGTGACGTGACCCCAGACTCACCGCCCGCCTGGCGCAGGGCAGCGGGGCATGGTGCTGGCAGCAGCTGTCCAGGCGAGGCCAGAAGCTGTCGAGTGCAGCCACCTGCCTGCGGAGGTGGGCAAAGGCAGCAGGGGGCAGCGAGGGCCGGGGTGCACGGGGGATCAGCGAAGGGCTGCGGCAGTAACGGCTGAGGTCGTCAGGCAGAGGCCAGGCTGGGGGGAAGCCCTCCAAGATGCTGCCCCAGGTGGAGGTGTGTGACGGCGCCCGCGGGTACGGGATGTCATCAGCCCCAGCTGATGGGATGATGTTGGGGAGCAGATGGAAGTCCTGCTCCTCCTGCTGCACTGTGGGGAAATAGCAGGGTGAGCCTACTTTTCTCCACCCTGCAGGACACGTCCCACATCATTCCGGGAGGGTCCCCATTCCACGGTCCTGGGTGTCCCCTTGCTCACCCAGACTTGTGTGAGCCCTACAGCCCTGTCCCCACATCCTCCTGTTCCCCCCTCCCCGTTGTCCCCACCCCTGACTGTCCCCTTGCCCTCCAATCCCTAATTATGTCCACCCCTGTCCCCATGTCCCCTCCATCCACAGTCCCACTTACGCCCTGTCCCTACACCTCCTCCATCCCTCGTGTGTTCCCATATCCCTGTGCACACCCCTGCATTCTCCACCCCTCCAACCCCCCTCCTCCGTTCTGGGTTTCCCCATGCTCCCCCCGTTCCATCATGTCCCCCATTCTCACACTGCTGGATCTCGTGCGATTGCTGGATCAGTTGCTCATGCTGGGGCTTCAGGTCTGCCACTGTGACATGGGGACAGAGGGCACAACGGTCACCCCCTGGCTCAGACCCCACAAATACCCTCCCCTTCCCCTGTCCCAGTGCTGAGGTGGGGGGACAAATAGGGATTCACACCCCCAGATATTGGGGAGAGCATGGCAGGCTGTAACAGGGACAGGACAGGGATGGCCGAGAGGGGACACAGGTGGGGTGGTAAAGCAGCCAGGAAAGAGCTCAGGAATGTGGGGAGGGGACACAAAGTGTCAGGGAGGGACTGAAGTGACCAAAACAAAGGGACCTGAGCACCCAAAGAGGGGATGATAGGACTGAGCAGTGACCCAGCTCTGCAGGGATGAGGATGCAGGAGGTTGGGAGGGGATGCAGGTGTGTGGGAAGGGGACCCCGGGTGGCCAAGCAGACATAAAGAAGCCACGAAAGGGACACAAGTGGCCATGGAAGGAACATAAATGGCCATGGAAGGGACACAAGTGGCCATGGAAGGGGCACAAGTGGCCATGGAAGGGAATCCAAACAGCCAGGAGGGAACATGGCGGGGCGGTGGCCCAGGTGTACAGGGAGGGGTCCAGGCATGCAGGAGAGGCCCAGGTAGCCCACGAGGGCTGAGCTGTGCCCCAGGGGCTGCAGGGGACGCGATGGGGAACTCACCAGCCGTGCCGAGGAGGAGGAGGAGGAGGAGGAGGCCGAAGGCGGCCATGGTGTCGGGCGCTGTGCAGCCACCGGCGGTTCTGCTGCCTTATGAAGAGCCGGGGCGGTGCGGGGCCTCATCCCGAGGCTGAGTCACAGCCTGACGTCGAGAGCAGATCCGGAGGGGGGGGGGGGACATAAAGGGGGGGGCAGGGGGGGTTGTGGGCACCCAGTGCGGCCTGCACCCCTGGGTTGGGCTCAATTGAGGCCTGCGGGTGGGCCCCATGCCTCAGCACAACCGGCCCGGCCGGTCCTGGGGCACCACGACACCAATAGGCCTCAGCACCGCCAGGGCGGCCCCAAAACCATCAACAGTGACCCCAAAATCATCATCACGGTGATCCCCAAACCACCACAGTGACCCCAAAGCCACCACGGTGATCCCAAAATCATCACGGCGACCCCAAAACCGTCACGGTGGTCCTTCAAACCACCCTCC